AGATAATTAATGAGACGTATCTAAGGACAATAATTATAAATAAATTTATTACATTATGTATTTATGTAGATTATTTTCCATGTAGAAATTTTTATTAATTCAAAGTTTTAGAATTTCGATATGATAATAAATTCAGCTCTTCAAGATTAAGTTTAATCTCATGAATTCCTGCTATTTTATTGCTTTATAAATCAATGAGAAATAAGCTTGTTCTATTTGTTATTAAAATTGATGAAATGAAATTAAATTGATTTATTAATCTAATCGAGCCTATTATCATTACTAAAAATTATTAAATAACAAAGAATCAATAGGCCTGAAGAAGGATGGAATTATATATCAACAAACATAAACTTTTATAAATAAACTTGCAATCAAAAGATTGTATAATATATTGGTATATCACTATTGTATTTAGCTATGACTTGTATAAAATTCCTTATACTAATAAAATACAATATAATTGCTAAATATAATTCCTAAATTAATAGTTGTTTTATAAAAAATTATAATTTCTTATATAAAGTTTGTTACAATTAAATTCTTACAAGAATGAATGTTACAAAAAAGGACTAGAAATATATTGATATTTACGTATTATAAATATTAATTACTTAACTATTTAATTATATAATAGTTAAAATTATATGGGATAAGTAATATTAAAATTTGTTTAAATCAGACTTACTTGTTTGTAAAAGACGGGTGAGTTTCTTGGAATTGAAATTTTTTGAAAAGCCTATTCTAATTGAATAAATTCTTGTAATTTGTAGCAGATTATTCTCCGGAATATACGTATATTCTCTGTAAATTAAAAATTCGTAAAACATTTTGTTGTTAAGTGGAACATTTATAAAATTTAAAATATATTAGTCCAAGGCCAACAAGCACAAATAAGGAATTAATAAAGGGGAGGGGGGAATAAAATTAAAAAGATTCCTGCATTTTTACATATTCAAGCTAAAATAATTGTATAACAAAAATAATGCACGAGAAAAAATTTATTTGAAGATTTATAAGACTTTTAAATGTATGAATACAATAAATATTTCGCAATTATGAAACAGGAAATTGTTAAATATTTTATTTTGAAATATAAATTTGCAGATAAATATTGGAACTAATAGTGGGAAATAAGCATAATCCTAATATACCATAAAATAAATTCTGTAATACCGTCAAAGTTTGAATTTGTAATAGAAATAGTTTTGAAGAAATATCGCAAATTACCCTATGTGTGGAGAAATTTCAATTCCAACAAATTAAATAAAATATATAAATGGCACCAAAGCAAAAATATGAATGTTGTACTCTATTCATCTGAATTTTTAATTCGCTTGATCAATCACATTCATCGTGAACTGTTCAGATAAAAGCCCATTAATCCAGTCAGCTAGAGAGCTAATAATAAGTACGCTCGTATAGAATTTCCAGTTATAACAGAACATAAAACCTTTAGTTTTCCCCTCTATTACGGGGAACTGATCTAAAATGTACACAAATTGAAGATCATCAACGTCAAAAACACTGGATAAAAGTATTAACATAGTTTAATGATGAATATAGTTTAAATAATAAATAACAAACGTTTTCATAAAGTACAATTTAATTATGCCCCCAAAATAAAATGGCATTCTTAGATACAATCATAGATTACATACAAGTATGTTTGTATTATTCTAAAAATATTTAAAATCTTGTTTTATTAAAAATATTATTAAAAATATATTTTACAAGCACGTAAAATAGAAATATATTTTAAAAATACAGGAAGAACATTTTAATATTCACATTTTATACATATTAAATTTTATAAGAAACATTTTTGAGTGGAAATATTGCAGTGAATAATAAACTAAACTTATTATTATCAAATATTAATGTAAAAATTATACATTAAAAAGAAAATTACGTCTGATAAACATTATTTTATACTATGTTTGCATAATTTCAGATTTCTCTAAACTCCATGAATAGTTGTTTATATTCACAATTAATAAGTAGAATGACAAAGTATTTGACTAAAAATAAGCTCTTGAAACATATAATCGCTATAATTATTTTTTGGTGCATATAAAGTTAATATTGTAACTTTCCATTTTTATCGATTTTATTACTAGAGTATGTTTTTATACATCAGTTTAAGTATAATAATAAATTGTTTATGCAAATATTGGTATGCTTATAAAACTGTCGATATTTAAATACTATAGAAGTTATAAAATTATGTGGAATAATAGGCTTTTCAAACAATAAATTTATAAAACTCTTATCTATGAAGTACGAAGTCCAAAGCTCATAGCAATCCTGCAATTATTGTAATTTTATAAATTATTACATTTTAGATCTTTCGAAATTCAACGTATTGACAGTATTGAATCCTTGAATAAAAATTTCATACTTCCCTTCCCGATATAAAAATGAATTTCTTCTAATGCACGGACGATAAACTATAAATTATCTTCCAACTACATTCTCGGAAAGCTTCTAAAACTGTTTCATGTAAAATAAATTAAATACAAACAAATATAGAATAGTCCATTCAATGAAAATAATTCAGTATTAGTCGATCGTCTATCAATCAGAATTTAAGATGGAACGCGTGCGTCTATGACCCTCAAAGTCAACTTCTTGTCATTTAAGTACATACTGGGGCTCCTAGCTATCAAATTCTGATCAACTTCCTTCATCTTCATCTTCATTGAGCTCTTCGCAATATCTCCTCGTGTCTCTCCAACTCCCTCCATCCTCGCTCTCACTACGCCCCCCTCCGCCGCTCTATCGCTCTATCTCTAACTCTATATTTACGTATTGCTATATGTTCATTTTCTTTTGCTTTACTGATTTTTGATATTCTATTTCCTCCATTTCTCTCACTAACTTTCCTCCTTTACTTTTCCCAAGAAATGTTATATATAAAAGCATGTAATAATATTGTGCTTTTTCTCAAGTCATATTTGTCACTTGTTCCAAAAAGTCTAGGTATGTACAACAACCCATATTTCGGGAATATTTTTTTTCATTATATAAACACAGGATTTTCATCGTCACATTTTCACGTGAGTCAAGATAGTCTTTTTTTTTAGTTAATGATCATAATTTCTCATGGAAACACTAAAATGAGCAGTCTGTATTATTATATATGTATCTCATAGGTTTGAGTTACATTATGGTTGAGTAACATGTTCCATTTAGTAGAAATGGGATCAAACTAGTAAAGCAGAGTAGCATTACATAATAAATATTTATGACTGAAAGTAAAAATAAAGTTATTATTTTTACAACTGAAATAATTATTGAAATATTTTCTAACGAGTACATTAAATTTAATTTCAATTGTGTGCTAATGCTATGTCAATTGTTTATTAACCAAAATACTTTATATTCGTTCATTTTAAAGGAGTTTCTTCATATATATAACTGGAAAGGTTTATAAATAATGATTTTTTAAATAGCAAGGTTATCCAAGTTTTTCAAACTATTTAAATACTTATTAAAGGATCGTATTTTAGTTATAAATTATCACAATATCATGGAGTTTTAAATTAATGGTTGGAGTCCGTTTCATATTTTATTTAAGGTTTTTTAATTATCGATTAAATAGAAGTATCTAGAACAAAGGATAAAAATAATCATTGAAAAGATATATTTTACATTTAGATAAAAAGTGGAAAATCAGCCTTATTTGTTCATTGAAATTTCATTTAAAAATCAATAATGCATTTTTCTTGATTTTATTAGTTGCAGTGAGCAAAATATGAATTTGATCGATCAGTCAATTAATTTTTACGTTAGACGCAAACATCAATTATTATTATTATTATGTTATTATTATGACTGCAAATTAAAAAAATCTTAGTCTTGAAAGCTTTGGAAATATATTCTAATTAAATTATAATGCAATAACAGAGCTGCGATAGAGAAATATTGTAATTATGAAAATTTTAAACTATCAAAATATAAAGTCAATATAGGGGCTAACGAAAAAGCAAAAATATAACAAAAGATTCAGGTTGAAATTATTAAAACATTATATGTACTTATTGATTATAAAATATTTTTTATTGAGTTTTGTAATCAAGAACTTAATTATATAACAAAGAGATTATTTTGGACGATACTTATGTAACAATGATATTGTTGTCTATTTTTTAGCACTTAATAGGCGAGTGATATGAAACAATCGGTAATTCAATAATCAATTGTTTTTCAATTTTCACACAAACACAAAGTTTGCAAAAAATTAATGTGTATTTGTTTGTAGAATATTTGCTGTTAACAGAAATTAATCCGTAATGGATCAGGAACTTTTGCGAGATATTTGAACGTCGAAATCACAGAGGGTAAAGTGGTGGAAAAATTGGTCGAACAAATTGGCTGAAGGGTGGTTCCACGAATAAAAATTTAAAAAACCCTTTTAATCTCATTTCGAATGACTTGATTTCCTTTCGATATTCATATCGCGTCTGATTGATTCTATATTCAATCATTATTAACTGATTTTACAATAAAAAAGAAGATTATTTGATTTCATGTCGTTAATATTATTAAATGCTTGAGCCTTATTTAAGCAGCTAACTATTAATAAATGTAATGAATCACAAAGCCCATTAATTACAGCTGAAATATAAATAAATATATTAAATTCAGGTGAATGAATCTTGTTTTTTGTATAATAATGTATATTACATGTATCGAATAAAGTGTTTAGATATTCATTCGATAAATTAAAATCTCAATTATTAAAAGCAATTATTTACATCCCATCGATTAAAATAATATAAGCTAAAATTAGGGAAAACAATTTCTTATAGTTTTTAAATAGCAAAAAAGTACTCGAACACAAAAGTTGATAGCTTTTTCATAAAGAAGACAAAGTCCTTATAGTATCGCAATACGAGCCACCAAAACTTTCACCGAACGACGTTTTATTATAAAAAAAGTCAAGGCTATTATTTTAAATGCTGTAGCAAGGTTGTCAAAATCTCTCACTGTTCCAGGATATCGACGCCGTTTCAAGTGGTAGCCGTAGCTCTGATCCTCGCCGGAACGATATCGGCTTTGATCGGACATTGCTGCTCCGATCACAGGACACTCGTTGCTTGCGGTCTATTTCTGCTGGGCGGTGAGTTTCAATACTTGATATACACACACATTTAATATTTCTTTTGCCTGTCTTTTGTATTAACCTATGTGAACTCGAATTGAATGGTTTCAACGTGTATTGAGAAACGATACTGGGAGGATCGGTTAATGTATCGCGTGTATATGCTATGCCAATGTAATCTACGTACTGAATATCTCTAGGTTTGATTGAAATAATTGCATCACGAAAATTACCAGAAGTTCATACAGATTAAAAATCATATTTTTGTTATTTTTTTGTTTTGTTGTTTTTGTTCTGTTTATAATTTCTTGTTTTTGCTACATTACACGGACACAAGTATTTCATGTGATAGGGCTAATTTTTATTTCATAAGTTCGTAATTTACCCCGAAATTTAATTATCGACCGTGTTACTATTGGCAATATTCTATTTTTTTTTAATTTAATATTTCCGAAAAAATATCTTTATAAATATGCACGGTTAATTAAGCTTTATATTTCGTTTTCAAGACATAAATAATACTTTTAAATGAACAATATAAACAATGGAATTAAATTTGTATTCTTTAATACTTGTTCAGTATAATTGATTCGGAAATTTACGCATAATAAAGTTGATATGCGCGTGTGCGTTCGTGTGCGTGTGAATGCATACGCGCTCGTGTAATTAAAATAATATCGTTTTAAAGTAACAATAATATAGTATTTGTGATATAGTTCAAATTTCATTTTATCAGGATAAAATATTTATTGAAAGTACTGTTAAGATATAATTGTTTTATATATTTTTTAATTCTGCAAATGATTTTAGAATACAAAATAAAAATTTGAAAATATTCTAAATATTCTTTAGCTATCTACGCACATTCATTATAACATAACAATGCTTTCGAAGACTTTATTATATATCGTTAACATATATATATATATATATAACACATATAAAAAACACTTACCACTACATGTGTAATAAAATAGAACTGCATAAAAATAAAAAAATATTTATCGTATAATTTGCAATTAAATCATAGCAATATTCCGAGGAGTAAGTAAATAGTGCATTCATAATTGCAATAATAGACTAAAAATTTACAGAAATGGTGTTGTTATTGAAGATTCTTAATATGAAATGAATACTCTGTTTAAATTTATAACGTTTTAAAGCTGTTTATATTCTCAAATAAATTCTAAACAATTAATGAGAAGCTAATGAAGCTGTAAGCTTTATTTATGTCATAAAAAAGACTTTTTTTTATAAATTATAAAATTAATTAGTAATTTTTGAGCAACATTAAATCTATTATTCTTTATATTCATCATAAAATATCTATAAGCAGTATTTTCCACAATAATTTTTTTAAATATCGAAAGTTTACTATTTTGAAATCAAATCAGCTAAAATTAATTATTAACCTGAATATTACAAGTAGGTTTTAATAATTCTTGTATTCGCTTAGCATATACTTCATTATTTCATAATTCATACTAACATCATTATTAGTTTTAATCATTGTTTAATACAATAGACAATAGTACTACTAAATATATTACTGCCATCTTTATTAGAATCTAATGAATTTTAATATTAAAGAATATTCAATTTTTATTAAAGGCTATATGTATTACACTGAATATTGCATATGTTGGATTATTATTAGATCATTAATTTCATATTTTATGTGTTCATACGTTGACTTAATAATGGAGAATTATAAAAAAATGAAAAAAAATTGTAAAATATAGTCATTATTCACATCATATTACAAAAAGAATTGAACAAAAAATAAGTAAAAATTATTCAATGCAATTATAATTTTTAATTGTCTTATTCATGTGTAAAATAAACAAATAAAATAATGTATATGTTGTTGGATCAATTGATTTCTTAAAATTACGCAAGACAATTAGCGGAAAATCGCGTTCATGCATCAATATAAATAGCAAAATTTTATCAGAATATATTGAAACATACGAGAACGTATTAGAAGTATGAAAAAACTTATGTATACAGACAAATACTCTCAATTAATCCATAATTTTTGAAGCTTTAAATTATCGATATTATTCAAATAAAATATTTTATTAATAAACTACTAATATAGAATTTATAAACGCCATTATTCATAAGTAATCCGAAACGTTAAAAACTATCAATCCAATTATGAATTTATTAAATTTAACGAAAACAGTTACATACAATCATAACATTTGAAATTCTTTTATATCTTATTTCCTATCGCAAGATAATAATTATATATTGAAATAAACAATACCTATTATGAGATACACCGGCCATAAAGTTGATTATTTTATAAATTAAATATTTATCAGACGCTTTTGAAGTGGAAAAGATGTTACATAATATTTTTTTTATAATGTGCAAATTTTAATCTAGCAAAGCTTAATATTTTGTTTTAATTTTAATTTATCTAAATTTTATACCAACATGTTTTTAATTTTTTTTTAATTTTTTTAAATTTCAAGGCTATATAAGTTATATATATTTATAAGTATATGTATGCATTTAAAAAGTAAAAATCAAAAAATAATAATCAAAGGTAATATTAAAATGAAAGATTCAAGTTCAAAAATAATAAAAATTAAAACTAATATAATTTTGTAAAATATTGTGTAAAGCAAAACTTAAACATCATGTAAACACATATAATGAAAAAAATTTACGACAATTATGTACACTAATTCAATATACAGATTTTCATAATTATTGCGTGTAATATAATTATGTGGCATTGATTATACTTCATAATGTAAATGTGTCATTTATTCTTTTTACAGATAATATATACATATATAATGTATGTGTGTATGTGGACGCATGTGTATAAAACACGTTTGTGAAAGCATTCTATACATAAATAAATCATTATTATTTATAATGAAAATTTGTAATTTGATTAAAGCACTTGACAAATTTAACTTATTACAGACGACTGCTCATTCGTAACTTCAAAAGTAATATTAGTTATTATTTGGACAATATTATTAAACATGTTATTATTTTTAATTCAATGCGTGTACCATAACGTTTCAAGCTATAGATGTATTATGAAAAATACTTTTGTTCAGAATCCGTATTCGAATTGAAAATCATAAATCTTGCAATAAAAAGGAAATCAAATAAGTGAATCTTAAATTAATAATTGCAATGAAAACAGTACTTTTGCAGCTTTAAGTTTTCAATAGTTAGTTTTCAAACACTCGCTATAATATAATTAATTAACTTGATACAATGTTAAGCATACTTAAATTCCATTTCAATTAACTTTTGTTTGAATCATTTATAACAAATTAATGAGACATCAGTATCTATAATGATCATTTACAAAAGTGATCGTAATCTATAGATGAAATATGTTTATATTCATTGAAATATGATTTACTTTTCAATGCACTGAAAATATATGTAAAATTTTTATAATAAAATTAGAAATTAATAATTTATTATAAAATATTAAGTAAAAAATTATAATAAATAAAATTATTCGATAATATTATGTTTAATTTTAATTTCCTCTAGAGTAATTAATTTTCAAATAATATGAAACAAGGATTTTGCCGTGTATATTATTTATAATATCGATTATTTGTTCAAGAATAACATGTTTTTCCTTAAAATATTAAGTTACAAAACTCAGATTTTCTACAATAATCCAATGTTTTAAAACCATACATAAACATTCAAGCTAAAGTTAAGAAGAATAAAATTGGTTAATAAAAACTGTGTGAAAGTAGATGTGCAGCGACTTTGGTCAGACACAGTTTCTCATGAAAGTCGGCAGTAATTATATGAAATACACGCGTTGATTCGTCAAGTTTAACTGTATTTGCCACAAATTTTTCCACCTTCGGCCAATTCATTTTATCCCGCCCATTGACCCAACGGCACCCCATTCAAACTACTTCCGGCACATCCATCAATCCCATGTAAATCACTTTTACGCGCTTGCATTTCAAAATGCATTATACGGCTGATCTTCGGCGCGATCCCGTCACTCATTTTTCATCCCTCTCGATTGAGTTAAAAATGAAGAAGCTGATTTGCTGGCGGACTAACACCCAGCCTACATTAATGCACGAGCTCTCGTTGTCCCTCCTTCCTCTCATCCTTCGACCAATGCTCCCCTCCTTCCCTACCGATGCTCGGCCGCCGACCAACATCACGTGCGTCGAACGTACATTATTCCGGCCGTTAGTTGCATTGCATCAGCCGTGACTAAATCTATACAGAGGCGCCAGGCGCGCGAGTGAAAAATTATCGGGCACTCAAGCGCGCGCGAATATATGTTTCATTCGAGGGCAGCCGGCGCGACGACACGATCAGAAGAAAAATTCTGCCCGTCAAGTCGCGCGTAAAATAAAGAACTAGGGACAAGGAAAAAGGACACTCTGTCGTCTAGTCACGCGGCAGCAAGGCATTATATATATGTATATATATATATATATATATATATATATATAAACATCGTTGACCCATTCCACTGAGCCGTCTTTAAAGACTCGACAAGAAGGTCAGTTCTTGATTTCCTCGCTCATCACCTATAGGATAAAAATTAGCAGGTTGGACGGCTGTACTTATAAATGTGCATTTGCAAACAATGCACTTTGTCATATAAGAAAAATGCGCGATGACGCAAAGTGCTTTCCGATCTCATGATCGAGAAAATTCGTTATTTAGAAAAATTGAGTACTAATTTGGGGTTCACTACTCGAATACGTGTATTTTATTACCTCACAGCAAAATATTATTTATATCTTGTAATCTAATGTTAATGTTATTTATATCACGTCTGACTATCTATATAATCGTTTATTAACGTGTCACCTGGTATTTAGATGGTAAATTTATATGGCATGGTACAATTGTTATGCAATGAAATCTTTGAAGAGGAATTATTACAAAATACTCTATTAATAATAGTGTTGTTAAAAATAATATAATAACGATTACTCATGAGTATATTTATTTTACCCAAATAATATATATATATATATATATAT